GCTGGGTGTGGGTGGTGGCGAAGACACGTTTGGAAATTTGGTAGAGCTTGAACCGGCCCCCCCACAAAGTGGGGGTATTGCCCGCCTCCTATGACAACCCTGGCACTGGTGAGAACGGAGTGTCCCCACGTGCTAGTAATTGTTGTTGCTGTTGTTGTTGTTGTCGAGTTCTCACGTCTAAAACAATTATTGTTGATCCCCCCTCTGGGGCACAGTGCCATTTTTAAGTGAGGTGCCCTCCCCAGGGCTCGCATCCTGTTCCTAATCCAGAAAAAGCCTCGGGTTTAAGAATTGGTTTGCTGGGCCCTGATTTACAACAACAGCGGCTCCCGCCTGATACTCCTCATAGTCGTTTCCCAAATCGCGCTCTCGCGCGGGACTTCTTCACAATGTATGCAGAAATCGCGCTCTCGCGTGGGACTGCCTCGTAACTTATTCAAGCGTCGCGCCTCCAACCCTTAGGAATCACGCTGTCGCTCGGGCCTTCCAATTTCTATTTGGGAATCATGCTATCGCTCGAGACTTCCTCGCGAGTCATGCTCGCGTTTCGGCAACCCGCATGCTCGGCCTGGCCGCCCAGGCCTGACTTCCCGACTGGCCCGTTAGGGTCTACCCGTCCAACATGCCCGTCTGGTTCTGCCACGTGTTTTGTGTTTATAACCCCTCTCATACTAATCTCTTTCGTGCTCCATCCTCCTCTCTCCCTCTTCCATCCGTCCTCGCCTCCCTTGTTTTGGGGGTTGCGCCAACTACATGTGGCAGGTAGGGAAGATATACGCCCGAGGGGGGCAAGATCGAACACGAAAAGGGCGGATACCAAAGGTTTGGGATATACGTGTTGAATAGCATTCGAGCAAGTTAGAGCGAGCAGTCTTGACATGATTGTTGAATTCCCATTCCTACATAGCAATTATTGTTGATCTCCCCCTCTGGGGCACAGTGAGTTTTTTCAGTTGAAATGCCCTTCCCTGGGGTCGCACCCTGTTTTCTATCAGGAAAAATCTTGGGCTTCAGAATTGGATTGCTGGGCCATGGTTTACAAAAACAGCGGCTCCCGCCTGATACTTTCTCAAAGTCGTTCCCCAAATCGCGCTCTCGCGCGGGACTTCTTCACAATGTGCGCAGCAATCGCGCTCCCGCATGGGAAGTCCTTGTAGCTTAGTCAAGCATGGCGCCTCCAGCCCTTAGGAATCACGCTGTCGCTCGGGCCTTCGAATTTCTGTTTGGGACTATTTGGGAATCATGCTATCGCTCGAGACTTCCTCGCGAGTCATGCTCGCGTTTCGGCAACCCGCATGCTCGACCTGGCCGCCCCGGCCTGACTTCCCGACTGGCCCGTTAGGGTCTACCCGTCCAACATGCCCGTCTGGTTCTGCCACGTGTTTTGTGTTTATAACCCCTCTCCCACTAATCTCTTTCGTGCTCCATCCTCCCCTCTCCCTCTTCCATCCGTCCTCGCCTCCCTTGTTTTGGGGGCTGCGCCAACTACATGCGGCAGGTAGGGAAGATATACGCCCGAGGGGGGCAAGATCGAACACGAAAGGGCGGGTACCGAAGGTTTGGGATATACGTGTTGAATGACATGCAACAAGTGTGGTTGATCCCCCTCTGGGGCACATTGTGATTCTCAAGTGAAGTGCCCCTCCATGGGCTCGCACCCTGCTTTTAGCAGGGAAGCTTGTGAATCTCGGAACTGTGGTTTTGGCACCCGGTTCACACCAACAGCAGCAACAACGGCTCTCGCTTAATGCTTCCTCACAACGTATCGAAGAATCGCGCTCTCGCCAGAAAAGAAATCCTCACAATGTATGTAGGAACCGCGTCCTCGCGTGGGACGTCCTCGCACTGTCCTCGGACGACGCGCCCTGGGCGCTCAGGACTCGCGCTCTCGCTTTGGCCTGCCTCGCGATTTACCTGTGAGTCGCGCTATCGCTCGGGACTTCCTCACGATTCATGCAGGACTCACGCTTCATCAACTTTAGAACTGAGAAATCGCCAACAACAGCAACAACAATCATTGCCAGGCTGTTCGCCCTTAACTGCTCGCTGCTCGCTTACCTGCTCAGACTTGTTAGCAACATGGATATCCAAGCCCTGGATACCCGCCCTCTTCGTCTTCGATCGTACCTTTGGGGGTATTTCGTCCTTACCTGCCACGCGCATTTAGCGCAGGTCCGAAAACAGACGAAGAGAGGACGGAAGGCGGAGGACGAAGGATGGGGCATGGGGGAACTTAGTAATCCTGCATGAATCGCGAGGAAGTCGCGAGCGATAGCGCGATTTCCATGTAAACAATGGGAATGGCCAAAGAGAGAGCGCGACTCCTGAGCGTCGAGGACGCGGCGTTTGAACACAATGGGACGAAGTCCCACGCGATAGCGCGATTTCTGTATACATTGTAAGGGAGTCCCGTGTGATTTCGCGTTTTCTGAAATCCGCCGATCCGGCGTGTGAGTTTCTGAGAGCGTGGACTTGAGCTCGCTCAAGCTTCGCTCTGGAGGGGGGGGGGGGGGGGGGCACGTTATTTCCGACGTCATTTCCGACGTTTTTCGGTACACGGGGACATTTCCGACGTTTTTCGGTACCCAGGGAAAGGGGGATATAGTAAACTCCACTTCCGGAGCCCCGACCGCCCAAGACAGCCGAAGAGGAAGCCAAGAGAGGCCCCAGAGGCCCCCTAGACAATGCAAGAGGGCCCCGAATCGCCGAAACATCGCTCGAACCGCCCAAGATGCCCCGAAGACAGTTCCAGAAACCTCCAAGACGTCCCCAGGATCCCTCACGACACTTCTCAAGAATGCCCAAAGACTGACAAATAGACCCATTCCCTTGGGAAAAGGTGAATTTTCGGCACATTCGTTTCTTGGGCCTTCACAATGTCCAAGACGGCCCCAGAGCTCCCTAAGACACGCCAACAGGCCCCCAAGAGGGCTCCAAGACGGCCCCCAAAGACGGCCCAGGAGCGCCACAAGACGACCCAAGTCCAGAGCCCAGACCGCACAAGACGGCCCAAGAGAAAGCCAAGAGAGGCCCAAGAGGCCCCCTAGACAGTCCAAGAGGACCCCGACTCGCCGAAACATCGCTCCAAGCCGCCCAAGATGCCCTCAAGACGGCTCCAGAAGCCTCCAAGACGCCCCCAGGATCCCCATCATCATCTCGCTCTCACCCCTCCCGGATAGGCGGCACTGGCCGGAGGCCAGCCCAATAACTTGTGGGGAAATATCTTGAGGGAGCCGTTGCCTTTGTAGCCAGGGGGGCAACAACCCAGTTCGAGCGGGAAGACTTCCTGAATGAAAAACAAGGTGCGAGCCCCGAGGGGGGCACTTTAATGAAAAAACATAATGTGCACCGGTGAGGGGGGATCAACAACAATTATTCTTCAAGAGTGAATGTTCAGTAACGGCTCCTGCTGGAGAATTACATCTTATAACTTCTTTCAGGATCGCCTTTTACGCGGCAGGAATCGCGCATTCGAATGGGAATTCCCCACAATATATTCAAATTGAGTCGCAAGCCACAACAAACATCGGGTGCGACGATGGGGGCGAATAGCCCAGGGCAGAGCAATACAATGTATCCAGGGGCACCGATGGTCCATGCCTTCGGCGAGGTTCCCAGGCCGAATACAGTGGAGGTCAGTCCACAAGAAACCTTCCACAGGAAACCCAGCCCTGAGACCCCAGGACGTACATTAACTTTTGGCGTGGGCACGTCGCGCTCTCCAGTGCAAAACCATCGAAACCCAAGAAACCCAGGGCACTCAGGAGGCGAGCAGGGTGTTTCTTGGCATGGGCCTCCACTGTATCGCCGCCCCCGAACAAATCGCGACGGAGGGCTTCTGGCAAGCGTCGACCTCCAGCGGTCCTCGCTGGGGCCCCCGGGGGGGGGCCGTCAGAGGACGGCTCCGGGCGCGGGGCCGGTCTCTTTGGACGCCCGAAAGAAGCACGGAAAGAATGGCTACAATGCCCAACAGCAAATGTTGTCCCAAACCAACAGCGGCCGCTGTGGGGCAGGCGGCCGTTTGTCTCGAGTGGACACAGACCGCGGCGGCGCGGACAGCGAGTGATGTTCGAAATGCACAGGAACTGCTGTTGGGCAGTGTGCCCATTATTTCCGTACAGTGGGGGCTCGGCCACAAGAACCCTCCGCAAGAAACCCAACCCTGAAATCCGCGATTTGCTTAATGAAAACCCAAATTTGTCGATCGAAAGTCATCCAGGTCCTATTGGGGACCCATCGAAGTCCAAGAAACCCAGGGCACCCTGGCAAAATCCAACTGGTTTCTTGGCACGCGCCCCCACCGTATTTCCGTACCCATTCGCTCGCGCCGAGTCTCGTGGAAGTGGCCCGAACCGCCAGGGGGCGCGCGTCGTGAAAGAGGAGCGCGGCGCTACTGGAGGTGTGAGTTCTCTGCCCTCCTCCGCAGCCTCCTCCTACACCACGTCCTGCTACGGCTGCGTATTCCAGGGCTCCCAACTTCGCGCTTCGCGCTGCGCGAAGCGCGAAAAGCGCCAATCACTTCGCACTCTCGCGCCGCCTCCCATGGGAGAAGTGGAGGGTGAGGAGGAATCGGAGCCGAACCGCGAAGCGCGAATACCGTCGCGCCCTCGAGGGCGCCCTTGCCTGCCAGTTGCTTCTCCTGCACCAAGTCGTCCTATGGCTGCGTTATGCCTCTGCATCCTGGAGGCAAACAGGGTGTTTCTTGGCATGGGCCCCCACCGTTTTCCCGAGGCGCTGCCCCCCCTGGCCCCTGCAGAGGTGCGCCGCCCTTCTCCGAAGGCGCCAGAGACACGGGCATCGGGGGAGTCCGGGTGGGAGACCGCCGAGGGCTGCACCAACGAGAGAGGGAGAGAGAAGCAGAAAGAGAGGAGGGAGAGAGAAAGAGAGAGAGGGAGAGAAAGACAGAGACCAACACAGTGCGAGAGAGAGAGAGAGATAATAGAACGAGAGAGAGAGGGAGAGAGCGAGAGACAACAGACAAACGACACAGAAAACAGCGCGGTCCTTCCAAAAAGACGCGGCACCGATCATATTGGACATCCAGTAAGGCCTGCGCGCCGCAGGCGACGCCCTCTGCAAGGACGAACTTCCACGGCACCACAGCTGCATCCGTCGAAGCAGCAGTCGCATTGCCAACAATACACCCTGCGAAATGCTTAAGAAATCATGGGTTAAGAAATTCATAGTCTCAGAACTTGAATAAAACCCAACATTCCCATTCAAACATTATGATTTACATTGAAACATTAAGACTCATGGAGACTCTGGCCGAAAATTTAAGTTTTCTTAAGCATCGCCTAAGGTGTAGTGTTAGAACCTGTGGGCCCAATCGCATCAGGATAGGCTCGGGACGCGATGAATCAACGCGTGGACTCTTCTGACTGCGACGCTCGAACAGCAGCAGAGAGCTCTCGCCTCTGCTGATCAGGTGGGGGGGCAGAAGGAGGAGGAGGAGGCGGAGGAGGAGAAGGAGGAGGGGGAGGAGTAGGAGGAGGAGAAGGAGGAGGAGGCGGAGGAGGAGAAGGCGTATGAGGGGGAGGAGGAGTAGGACGAGGAGGAGGCGAAGGAAGATGAGGGAAGAGGAGGAGGAGGGGGAGGAGGAGGAGGAGGACCAGAGTAAACCCCAGAGTCATCAACCATGTTGGAATAAACCCTCCCTCCAAGCTCCCTCTTCATAGGCCCCCACAACGGTTCATTCGCTTTGAGGACTGCCTCGTTGGAAGACAGCCGTTTGAAGAGCCTGAAGCATGCCACAACAATATTCTCGGGACTCCAACGCCACGGATCGAAGTGACAATTGCGTCTTGACGATCCTGAATCGTGCCAGAACTCCATTCCTGGGACTTCAACGCCACACATCAAACTAACTTCTGCACCCTCATAATCTGGAATCGTTTCAACACGCCATGTCTGGCATGTTGACCATGGGAACCCGTGAAAATCAAACAACTTTTTTGTTAAAAAAAGAATGCGCACGGCGCTAACATGTTTAACACGCACAGCGCCCTCAATCCGTAAAACTCCTGCACATGTTTGAAACGAATGCGCGCGGCACTAAAGCGAGAGCCACATTTTGGAAACGACCCGCCCTGAACCAGTGAAACTCTTGCAACAGTTTTGTGTAAAAAACATGTGCGCGGCGCTAAGGCGAGAACCGCATTTTGAAAGCGGCCCGTGCTCCATCTGTGAAGCAATTATCAGCGTTTAGTAGCCAAGGTCATACATGGTGGGGAACTCTCAGGCGAAACGCCTGGCCCGTCCTTTCGACAAGCCTCGAGGTGCGACAAGGAGACGTCATGCATACGGAATGGAAGAGGAGGGGACGGAGGAGGAGGAGGACGACAAGGAGGAGAAGAAGGATGAGACGGAGGAGGAGGAGGGAGAGGGGGAGGCGGAGGGGGAGGCGGAGCAGGAGGAGGAATTCGCTGATACCCACACGGTGGCAAGGAGGAGGATGAGGAGGAAGAGACTCCCAGGACAAAGTCCAGAAAGGCCTCAGAAAGAGGACGGCCCCCTATGGACCCTATACTTGCGATCGAGCTCGGCTTCGCTGCAAGCCTGATGGAAATATCTCCTCTCGATACTGTCCAGGTACAGGGCACGAGTGGAGGTCACAACATCGAGATACTCCTCGCCGAAACCAAGCAACTGTTCACTGTCATACATCCAACAAGACGCGCATAACCACACCCCTAGGTTCTGATGCAACCGCCTTTTGCGGGAGGGGTGGTTCCATCCTCAACGACGTGCATCTTCGTCCCCTCAAGAAGTCCTCTAAGGGAGCCGTCAATAAAACATAACTTGAAGCATTCAGTGTTCCTCCAAGCTCGGACGAAGGACAGGGAAGCCGAGCCTGAGGATGAGGAGGAGGAGGAGGGGGAGGAGGAGGAGGAGGCGGAGGAGGAGAAGGAGGAGGGGGAGGAATAGGAGGAGGAGAAGGAGGAGGAGGCGGAGGAGGAGAAGGCGTATGAGGGGGAGGAGGAGTAGGACGGGGAGGAGGCGAAGAAGATGAGGGAAGAGGAGGAGGAGGGGGAGGAGGAGGAGGAGGACTAGTGTAAACCCAAGAGGCATCAACCATGTTGGAATAAACCCTCCCTCCAAGCTCCCTCTTCACAGGCCCCTACAACGGTTCATTTTTACTGAGGGAACTGCCTCGTTGGAAGACTGTTTGAAGACCTGAAGCATGCCAAAACATGGTTCTCGGGATTCCAACGCCACGGATCAACCTGACTGTTGCGTCTTGACGATCCTGAATCGTACCATAACGCCGTTCCTGGCGCTTGAACACCGCGAATCAACATAATTTGTGCACCCTCGTAAGCCAAAATCTGTCCAAGACGCCATTTCTGGTACGTTGATCACGGGAACCCGTGAAACTCTTTGCAACTTTTTGAAACGAATGTGTGCGGCGCTAGGGGGAGAACCACATTTTGAAAGACACCGTCCTCAATCCGTGAAGCTCTTGCAAATTCAAAAGACGAGTGTGCGGGGCGCTAAGGCGAGAACCACATTTTGAAAATGAGCTACCCTCAATCCGTCAAACTCTTGCAATTGTTTAAGACGAATGTGCGCGGCGCAGAGGCGAGAGCCACATTTTGAAAACGACTCGCCCTCAACGCGTGAAACTCTTGCAACTTTTTGAAACGAATGTGTGCGGCGCTAGGGCGAGAACCACATTTTGAAAGACACCGTCCTCAATCCGTGAAGCTCTTGCAAATTAAAAAGACGAATGTGCGTGGCGCTAAGGCGAGAGCCACATTTTGAAAACGGCCCGCCCTCTATCTGTGAAACTGTTGCCAATGTTTGAGCTTCAGAGTCAAACAAAGGTGAGGAAGTCTCAGGCGAAACGCCCGGCCCGCCCTAAAAACGGGCCTCGTGGTGCGACAGGGAGATATTATTTATAAAGAGAAGGACTGGAAGAGGAGGCGGAGGAGGAGGAAACGGAGGAGGAAAATGAGGAGGAGGAGGACAAGGAGGCAAAAAAGGAGGAGGAAACTGAGGAGCAGGAGGAGGAGGAGGAGGAGGAGGAGGAGGAGGAGGAGGAGGAGGGGAAAGAGGAGGAGGAGGAAAAGGAGGAGGAAAAGGAGGAGGAGGGGAAGCCGAGGCCCAAGGCTGAGAGGGTGGTGAGCCTCCTTCTCACCGCAACGCCACGCCGCCGATCTGGCGCCTGCTCTGGTCCGACCTGCTCCCACGTCGGGGCGACCAGTCGGTGAGCCGTCCATGACGACCTGCCAGACCACCCCAACCCAACCCGAAGACCCGGATTTCGGGTTGGGGGGGTGTTTTTTTTGTCAGCGTTTCCCCCGACCCCCCCCCACTGGTAATGGAGAGCAAATTGGGATATAGTACAAGACGTTCGCGCCTACATGTCCCACAGTCTCAACCTGCCTTGCAAACCCCATGCAGAAGACAGCGACCAGTCGGTGAGCCATCCATGCTCGAAGTTGGCCCCAGAGCCTGGCGAGGGGGTGCGAATGCAGAGCATCCTCTGGAGGCAGACGCGCCAGAGCTGCACTCCTTCGGGGGCAGGCGGGGGACCCTTCTCTGGGCTGCGCGCAGGCGGTTTCCGCAGGCGCGGGCGAGACAAATGTCGACACATATATCTCCGACGGTGTTTCCTGTTCACATGATGGCCCCAGAAGGCCTCCAATGTCGCAAGGGCCCACAAGTCCTCATGAAGATCCGAAGAGCCGCCCAGGACGACAGAGGAGGCCCCTGAACATCCCACTGGGAGTCCAAAATATTGAGAGGCACAATGTGTTTGGTCCGACGCTGGCCGTCCTCCGCCCTCGGAGGTGGCCAGGCGGCACACCAGAGTCTCCGGAGAGCCTCCCGGCGACCCCACGTGGCCGAAGACGACGCCGCCGAGACTGCCCAAGACCGCCCCGAGGCCGCGCAGGCCTGGCCCGAGACGGACCCCAGACGCCCGGGGCCTCCCAGATCTTTCGGGGGTGGACAGACCCCCCTTTAGTAAAACGTGGTTTAGTGAAAACGACCTGAGACCCAAACCTGGCGTTCGCAAGCCTAGAAAATAACGGCCACGGCGCCCTCTCGAGAACCGAAAACGGACAATTCACCAATCGACGTGTCACTGTTGGGGGTTCTGTTCACCCCCGAATCTTGGAGCTGCCCAAAGACAGCCCGTCGGCATGACCCCGGCACGAAGATCCCAGCGAATTGCCCGGAGGCCCAAACTTGCCTCCAGCATAAGGGGAAGGAAGAGTGACACAAACATGAAGACTCGGAGGTCCGCGCGGATTTGTCGGATCGGCGCTGGACCCCCCTCTCCGGCGCGCGGAGCGCGCCAGGGGCGGCGCCAGAGGCGCCGCCATGGGGGTCCAGCGCGGATGCGCGAAATCCGCGCGGACCTCCGAGTCTTTCTGTTCATGTCATTCTTCGTTTCCCTCAAGCAGGCACACAGGGTGGTGAAAAACCGCGGGGTCCACCGTGCCAGCCGAGCAGGGAAGGGAAAGTCCACCGCGCCAGCCGAGCAGGGAAGGGAAACTGCCCCCATTCCAATGCGGCCAGCCTCCCCGGGGCCAGGACTCCAGCGCATATACACATTTCTACACGTCCTTCCCACCCCCGTGCCGAAGACTTCACATCTCCTCCTCCTCCTCCTCCTCCTCCTCCTCGTCCTCCTCCTCCTCGTCCTCATCCTCCTTCTCATCCTCGTCCTCGTCCTCGTCCTCGTCCTCCTCCTCCTCCTCGCCTAGCCGCGCGGATGTTTGACTGCCTCCCGGGATGGACCTGTTGTGGATGTGAGGCCTGCGAGGGACCACCTGTGGTCTCTTTGAGGGCGTGAGGCCATCAGAGGCCTCTTGAAAGTCACTCGGGGGCTTCTCAGGGGGCCGGTTGGGAGTCTCTGAAAGGCCTCGTGGATTGCTTCTTGAGGGCCTCCTGGGGCCTTCTGGGGGCCGTCTTCCCGGTGGGCCCGAGGGCCTTGCTGGCCATTTAGTCAATTCCGAGCGCTCCTGGGGCTCTCTTGGGGCCATGGGGATCTGGACGGCCTTAGACCGTCTTGGAGGCCTCTGGGGCCGTCTCCAGGAT